TCATGAAACAGTAGTACACATATTGTTTTATGACATTGGTTAACAACCCCACGACATGTAAACCCTCTAACTTCGCAAGCTTTTTTTTTGGTGAAAATACACATAGCCAAAGATACATCAAAGTCTGGTCTTTTTTATGAATTTGGTTTTGTTCTACATTTTTCTCCCATTCTAACCAGGACCTTCTGTTGTGTCCCTGGTCAGAATGGTCAGTAGTGGTAGCCAGGCACCATCTAGTTTTTCTGGTCTCAGGCTAGAAGAAGCTGTGGTTTGCATGGACTAATTTCTTCTGTGAGTCTTTGGTTTCCTTCACTCTCCTTTGCTCCAGACAGAAAGAGACCAATAGTTGTATCTTAGATGGCTGCTTGCAAGTTTTTAAGACCCTAGGTGCTACTTGCCAAACTAGTATGTAGGACATTGTCTTTATGAACTAAGTTATGCCAGTTGATCTAGTTGTCGCACGATAGTTTAAAGCTTTGATGCCAGGGCATGATTCAGTTTTCCTCACTAAACGCGTTATTGGGGTTAAATATTCTAGAGTTTTAAAGGCTTTGAAGGGTTTTTAGGAAGAAATTTTTTACATAAAGCTGTTCCTTTAAAGAATCCCAAATTTTAACTGTTGAGGACTGAAAGAATTTTAAGGTCCCACTATTTAATATTGCTTGTTTTTTTCAGGTCCCATTCAAACTTTACAGAGTAAAGGTAAAATCATGGAAAAACACTTGAAAACCGTGGAAATTGTGGCTTGGAAGAATGGTTTAGCGCCAGAAGAAATTGACATTCTATTAAATGTAGCACTCAGTGGCAAATTTGGTATGTAGAGGGGATACATTTGTCATTAGTTTGCTATTAGTATTGCCTCCCAGACTTAATTAGCTTGTTCATTGCGATCAGTTGCAGTTCTGTCATTTTACTATTCTCTTCCTAAAACCAATTTGATAGGATTATAAAATGGTATTCAAACTACCTTATGAGCCAAAGTTTCTATGTGCATATTCTGAAAATGGCCAGTTGTCATATATCTTTTACAAATAAAATGGATAGACTCTTGTCAGTCAACATGCTTTTTCTTTTGTGCAAATGCTTTCTTTCCCGTTCTAGGTTCATGGGGTAGGGAGATGTTGGGAGGGATTCTTAGAAAGAAATGAATAACACATCATCAGTATTCTTTTTACTTGAAAAGAACCTTTTAACCTCTCATCCAAATTCAGTTTTGGAAGGTATTTTAGACCCTGAACATCCTCAATTTAAAGATGAGGAAACAGTGGTAAAGACACTTGCTTAATGTGAGAGAGCTGGAAGTAGAACTCAGGTCTCCTAATTCCGATTCTAGTGTTTATACTGCTTTACACTGCTACCAGATTTCTTAGATTTTTTTTAAATTAAGGCAGTTATCAAAACTATATGCTTTATATACTCAGTATTTCCTGGTCCTTGCATACTAGGTTCCTTTGTGTCTACCCTATCATCATATTTGCATGTGTGCGTGTTGTAAAGCAACAACACGGCATTACTAACTTAATTCAACTTATGAATCTTAGGTATTTTATTTCTCTACTTTTCCCTGATTAGTTCTTTGGTTTTCTTAGAAAGTTGAAGTTGACCAAGTAAAATTGGCTTTTGTTCTTGTAGGTTGTTTCAGATTGGTTGTTGTAATATCTTTCCAGGAATCCATGTTTAACTGATCATTGTCTATCAAGATCAATTCTCTCACTCCCTACTGCCCTTAAAAAATGTATAGACTATATAGGTGTTTTCTATTTTGGAATTTCCCTTTTCTTTTTTGATATCTCAGAAATTAATGGCTAACAGTATTCACGTCTGCCAGGTCATGAGGTGTTTCAAAATGTGTGCATCATGCACTGGAAACTTGTATATAATAATTTAAAAAATAATCACTGGCTTTCTAGTCTAACTTTTCATTTTTCTGTTAAGCTGGAATTTGCTCAGGTCAAATGTGGCCCCCTTAATTGCTTTTCTCTCTTGTTATTTCTATGATGTCCCCCAGCAATACTAGATCTTTATTTGTAGTTGTTTGGTAAGTTGAAATGCCTATTTAGAGGCGGGTATGCTAGAAATGTCATCATAATTAGGTGCAAAGAGACTTTAGAGTCTTTAGAAATTAATTTAAAAGTCACTTGAAAGTAAGAATAGAGTCAATATGAAATTCCCACTTTGAATTTGGTGCATATGTAAAGTGTTAATTGTGAGACTGTTTTAAACCTTAGAAGGGTTAGGGGATGGGAGTGGAGGAGAAAAAGAAAAAAAAAAACCCACAAGAATAGAAAGCAGAGATTTTTATTCTTGTGATTTGTTACTAGCCATCACTGCTGCTTTTCTTCTCTACAGAGCGATGGAGTAGAAATTGATGAAATGTATTTTATTTCTTGAAGCCTTAATAAACAGAAGTTGATACTGGGTGTATACAAAGCCATTCTCTGCAATATCACTTTTACTACCAGATGAGAGAACACCATGGAGGCTAGCGATCAAGATGGAAAGATTAGGCTAGTATAGAATAATATTATTACCAGCTAATTCCAAGGGTATCTGTTCCATTCTGGTACATCCCACCCTCTTTTTTGGTGATGGAAGACATAAATATTTATTTATTCTTAAATGTAGCAGCTCATATAAGGTGTCTATCAGTAGCTTTAAATAAATCAGTCTATTGTGACATGGAATAATAATAAAAATTTTCCAGTGATAGCCTTTTATTTGAGCTATAGTTCACATATCAAAATTTACCCCTTTGAAGTGTTCGATTCATTTGTTTTTAGTACTGTATTCACAAAGTTGTGCAACCATCACCACTGGCTAATTGCAGAACATTTTTATCACCTCAGAAAGAAACTCTGTATGCATTCCTCTCCCCTTTTTAAGTCGAACTATAATTTGCTTTGTAGTTTGTGTCAGAAGTTAAAGGTAATTTTTTTGTGTGTTGAATAATATTTTGTAATGATAATAAAATGCATTGAATGTTACGCACTGTTTTTTTTTTCTATTTTTTTTTATTGTTGTAGTTTAAATGAAGCTACATTTCAAGTTAGTCTCCCATACAAAAATTTATACATACATTGTTACGTGACTCTAATTGCTCTCCCCATACTGTGACGGCACACTCCTCCTTTCCACCCCTGATTCCCCATGTCCATTCAACCAGCTCCTAACCCTCTTGCCTTCCCGTCTCACCTCCGGACAGAAGCTGCCCGTTTAGTCTCTTGTATCTCCTTGAGCTAAGAGACACACTCCTCACGAGTATCACTTTATGTCCCACAGTCCAGTCCAATCCCTGTCTGAGGAGTTGTCCTCAGAAATTGTTTAATTTCTGGACTGATAGAGCATCCAGGGGCCATGCTTTCTGGGGTTTCTCCAGTCTCAGACCGTTAACGCACTGTTTTTTATTGCTTTCAATATAAAGTGAGATTTTTAGATCCAGGGAACAATTGAGGAACTAAAATGTAATTTAATTTAGAGTTTGTCTGCTTTCCAGGGAATGCCATAAACACTCGGATATTGAAGAGCTTGATTCCAGCAACTCTCATATCAGGAGATTCGGTGGTTAAGGCTGTCTCTTGGTTTTGTGTTGGCAAGTGTTCTGGTAGCACCAAGGTAATCTTTTTAAGCCCTTTGATGGTAAGTCCTTCAGAGCCACTTAAGGGCTGACAAGGAAGAGCCACTTATGGAATAATAATGGCAGTGGTCTTTTTTGGAACAATATAGTCTGATGTAAGAACTCTGTTCAAACAGAATTTTTTATACTGAGAAGTAAAATGTGTTATCCTACTTTGTGCTACAAGCTTCTAAAACTTAAGTGATTTAAATAGCCTTGTGGTGGGAATTAAGCTCTTCTGTGCTAGTTGCATTTTTTAATATAAACGTTTTTGTCTCTCAATAGGTTCTTTTTGTTCGTTGGCTGGTTGCAATGTTTGACTTCATTAATGAAAAAGACAAAGTTAACTCGCTCTATGGGTTCTTTTTTGCTTCATTGCAAGATGATGTGCTGGTAAGTAAAAATTGGACAGCATCATACATAGATCAGATCAAATAATACATGCTTTTATATTGCTGCACTATATGTGTTTCAAATGCCACACAATTAAAAATATTAAGCATACAGAAAATACAAATAATAACGTAACAAACACCCTTGCACCTATCTCTCTGATTTAACACATGTAAAAGTTTTACCATGTTTGTGTTATATCTTCTTTTAAGGGAGTAAAATGTTACAGATAGAGTTGACTCCAAAGTGGAGTCTCTTTGCTGATCTAGAGCAGTGATTGCCATCTTTTCCCTTTTAAACCACTTCAACAGAGTCCTTTGGGTCACTTACCCTACATATTCTTGATTAACACTGCAAAAACCTCATCAAAATTAATGAGGAGAGAATTGCTTTTCATGAGATGCCAATGGACTGATTTTGATTAAATAGCATAATTATTCCTATTAAAAATATTAATCACTCTAAGAAATCAATCTACTGTCCACCTGGAACATTTTTAAGGACCATCAGTAGTTCCCAGACCATGTGAGCTACTCATTTTAACTGAATTCTTCTTGCTTTTGGGAAGGGAATTTATTCATTGATTTCATTTTTAAAAAGTGATGTTTCTATGTTCATTGCATTGCGCTAAGCACCGGAGAGAACTGAAAGTTTAGCACAGAGTTTCTGTGCTCCAGGAATTTATAATCTAGTTGGGGAGATTAAGGAAAGCACATAAAATTAAACAACAATTCAAGAATTAAATAATTCAAAGATAGTATATGATAGTGGGAGGATAACAATCCTGTGATATTTCTGGGAAGGGAAGAGAGCACTGTAAACAGATTGCTTAGAGAAAGTATCAAAGTATGTGGGCATTGGACTTGGCCTTAAAGGTTGAATAGGATTCAGGATTTGATGAGGAGAGAAAATGATCGTTGATATGACGGGAGTATTTCAAGTAAAGTTGCAGAAAGAAATATATAAATTGTGTTTCAGGAGACCTTAAATAGGCCAGCCTGACTTGATTGCAGTAGGTGTAGGGCAGTGGTGGGTAGTAAGGCTGAAAAAATTGAGTGAGGACGCGTTGTAGAGGTTTTTGAATGTTATGCTGAGAAATTTGAACTTTATTTTCTATTCAGCAGGGAAATCACTAAAAATTTTTGGGTATAACAAAAGCAGCACCGTAGGAAGTTATATGCAGTAGTACTAAACAATATGAATTAAGAGAGAGGCTAGAGTCAGGAAGATTAGTTAGGAGACTAATGTGATAATCCAGGTATAACATAATGGAGCCTGCAACTAATTTTCAAAGTATGGTCTGTGGACCCCTGAGGCTCCCAGAGACCCTTTCAGGAGGTCTGAGAGGTCAAAATTATTTTCATAATATCAAGATACAATTTGCTATTTTTATTGTGTTGACGTTTGTATTGATGGTGCTAAAGCAACGGTGGATAAAATTGCTAGCAGTTTAACACAAATTAAGACAGCGGTGCCAAACTATACGGGCAGTCATTGTAGTGTCACTGCAGTAACGATTTATTAATTTTATAATTCTCAACCCTTGAGACATATCTTTAATATTCTGTGTGATGAAATGGAAAGGACAAAGAAAGCACTTCTACGTACTAAAGTACAATAGCTGTCCTGAGGGAAAGCACATGTGTGATTGAGTTGTGAGCTAAACTAGCTGCTTTTGTCATGAAAAAATGGCTGATATATAAACTATGGTTTTCAGACTTGAGTACTGACAGACATTTATATGAAAATGAACAAAGTAAGCCTGTCATTTCAAAGAAAACAACCGGCAGTATTTGTTGCCAGTAATAAAATTCATGCTTTCAAGTGAAAATTAGAAGTTTGGAATTTTTAGGTAGTTTATAATGAAACATCAACATTTGGAAGCTCTATATAATTCAGTGAACCAGTATTTTCCAAATGACCAAGCATGATGTTACAGAATCACATATAGGTAAAAGATCTATTCAAAGTGCAAGATACATCAATGAATTTTAATGGAATAGAATACAAACTGTTCACTGCTAAGGTTTCAGATTCCACATTGTAACTAACCCTTAGGAAACTACCACTTGTCAACTTTTGGTGTCGTGTCAAAGACAAACATCCACAATTTTCTGAAAAAGGCTATTAAAATACTCTTCCCTTTTCCAGCTACATATCTGTGTGAGGTTGGATTTTCTTTTTCTGTTAAGCCAGAAATATTACAGAGATTTGTAGAAATGTAAATCAGTTCCACTCTTCTCACAATTTTTTTTGGGGGGGTTGTGAAATAGAGTAATTTTTCTTAAAATATATCATTTATGTTTTCATGTATTATGGATTGAATTGTGTCCTCCTCAAGAGAGATATATTGAAGTCCTAACCCCTGGACCAATGAATGTGACCTTGTTTGGGAAATAGGGTCTTTCTTTGAAGATATTTTCAGTTTAAGTTTTAAGGACTTCATAAGGAGTAATCCCTTCTGAATGGTGATTTAACCTTCTAGCTTCTAGAACTGTGAGAAAATAAAATTATCTTCTTTAAAGTCACTGGCCTTGTGGTATTTTGTTATGGCAGTCCTAGGAGACTAAAACAACATGTAATGTATTTTTTAATGAGTTAATAAACGTTTAAAATGTTCTCAGTTTTAATTTCTAATACAGTGAATGTAGATAGCTACAATCCAGATAAAGAAAAGCTCTTTGAAGTCTTCTAACTTTTAAGAGTGTAAAGGGTCCTAAGACCAAAAAGTTTGAGAATCGCTGTCCTAGACTAAGGGGGTGGCCATTAAAAAACCCTTTGCCCTCGAGTCGATTCTGACTCATAGTGACCCTATAGGGCAGAGGAGAACTGCCCCACAGAGTTTCCAAGGAGTGCTTGGTGGATTCAAACTGCTGACCTTTTGGTTAGCAGCCGAACTCTTAACCGCTACACCACCAGGGTTTCCAAGGGGGTGGCAGTGGGAATGAACATGAAAGGGCGAATTTTAGGGGAAATCGTGAAGGATGGATTCATATGACCTGCTGTCTAAATTGGACTAAGGGAAAAGGCAAGAGTTAAAGATATGAGGTTTTAAGTCAGTATGACTCAGAATGATGGTACACTGACAGAAGAAATTTGTGAGAAGGAGTTAGTTTTGGAAGGAATATAATACATTTGGATATAGCTATACAAAGTTTGAGGTAGCAAGGCATCCTATAGAAATTCAGTCAATGAACATTTATTAACTACATACTATGCCAGGCACTGAATGAGTGTTCAGAATACAAATATGAATAAGACATAATAGCTAATTTATGTGACACTTATATGCCAAGCACTAAGTGCTTTATAAGGAGCCCTGGTGGCACAGTGGTTAAAGCTCCTGGCTGCTAACTGAAAGCTTGGCGATTTACAGCCCTAGAAACCCTATGGGGCAGTTCTACTCTGTCCTGTAGGTCACTATGAGTCGGAATCGATGGCAGTGGGTTTGTTTGGTTTTTTTAAGTGCTTTATATATTCAGTATATCATCAGCTCTTAAGCTGTCAGTTATGAGCTGCACCATTATCTTTCGAAGCACTACGAAAGAATGCTACCATTTAAACCATCATATTACATAGATTGTAGAATTAGTCCTGTTTTCAGAGATGTTAAAACATAAAATGTAAATGTGTTAGAATATGTGAATTGTGTTTTTTATTTTTTCAGTCCTGATGGTCTGCAAGTTCTTTATTCTAAAAAAAATTTTATTGGTGGCACAGTGGTTAAGAGTTACAGCTGCTAACCAAAAGGTCGGCAGTTCAAATCCACCAGCAGCTCCTTGGAAACCCTATGGGGCAGTTCTACTCTGTCCTATAGGGTTCCTATGAGTTGGAATTGACTCGACAGCAACAGGTTTGGTTTTTTGGTTTTTGCCATCTTCCACACCTGTGCTGTCCAGTTTGGTAGCCACTAGCCACATGTGGCTACTGAGCACTAGAAATGTGGCTAGTCCAAACTGAAATGTGCTGTAAGTGTAAACTATACACTGGATAAAATATAGTTTTAACCCATTTCATCCTCATGACACAAGAGCCCTGGTGGCGCAGCCTTAAGTGCTGGGCTGCTAACCAAAAGGTCGGCAGTTTGAACCCACCAGCCGCTCTGCAGGAGAAACATGTGGCAGTCTGCTTCCATAAAGATTACAGCCTTGGAAACCCTATGGGGCAGTTCTACCCTGTCTTAAAGGGTTGCTATATAGTCAGAATGTACTAGATGACAATGGGTTTGTTTTTTTTTTAGGAGCTGACAATATTTTTTTTTTATTGTACTTCAGGTGAAGGCTTACAGAACAAATAGTTTCTCATGAAACAGTAGTACACATATTGTTTTATGACATTGGTTAACAACCCCACAACATGTCAACCCTCTAACTTCTCAACCTTTTTTTTGGTGAAAATACACATACCCAAAGATAGACCATTTCAGAAATTTCTACATGCACAGTTCAGTGACATTGACTACATTCTTCCAATTGTGCTGCTATTCTCACTTAAGATGAAGGCTTAGAGAACAAAATAGTTTCTCATTTAACAGTTACTACACATGTTGCCCTATGACAATGGTTAACAATCTCACATCAACAATATCCTTACTCCTTGGGTTCCCTATCACTAGCTTCCTTGTCCCCTTCTGCCTTCTGGCCCTTGTCACTGGACTACTGTACCTCATTAGTCCCATTTGGTTTTACGGGGCTGTCCACTCACAGGCTGAATGGTGAACCTCGGAGATAACTTCACCACTGAGCTAAAAGGGTGTCTGGGGGCCATACTCTCGGGGTTTCTCCAGTCTCCTTTAGGCCAGTAAATCTGGTCTTTTTTTTTTTGTGAGTTAGAATTATGCTCTACATCCTTCTCCAGCTCTGTCCAGAGCCCTCTGTTGTGATCCTGGTCAGAGCAGTCAGTGGTGGTAGCCGGGCACCATCTAGCTGTACTGGACTCAGTCCGGTGGAGGCCTTGGTAGCTGTGGACCATTAGTCCTTAGGACTAATCTTTTCCGACAA